TGTTTTCTACAAGACAATTGCTGCAGCCTGTAGTGAAAGTGCATGCGAGAGATCTCAGAATAACTATTATTAAGCTAATAAATTATATGTATTGCCAGAAAATCCCAAAACATTCATTATCATAGAAAACGTTAACAACCAAATCAACAAGCTGGTGTCATATATATAAAGCACTAGAGAAAACGTTCATGTTATTTCAACACTACATATACACAGTCCTTAATTAATTTAATATAAATACAATATTTATTTGTGTGTGTGTATATATATATATATATATATATATATATATATATATATATATATATATATATATATATATATATATATATATATATATATATATATATATATATATATATATATATATATATATAATTATATATATATATATATATATATATATATATATATATATATATATATATATATATATATATATATATATATATATATATATATATATATATATATATATGTTAATCACCGTAGGTAAGTATTTTTTAGTGAACAGGAAAAGTTGAGACTGAGTCGGATTCGAATCCGGTTCGAATCCGGTTCGAATCCGACTCAGTCTCAACTTTTCCTGTTCACTAAAAAATACTTACCTACGGTGATTAACATATATAAAAATTATAAATGCCATATCGTGATGATTAACATCAACATAACATAGATATATATATAGATATATATATATATATATATATATATATATATATATATATATATATATATATATATATATATATATATATATATATATGTACTATTTAAAGCACGCGTAGGAGTGTTTTATCACATATAAAACACGACTACAAGTGCTTTAAATAGCTTCAAAAACGACTCATCTTATACGAGTTCATTGGCGAAGTAATTTTTAAAATAATATATATATATATATATATATATATATATATATATATAATATTAATGAGACCAAAAATGATCAAATTTTACAGTGTAGAAAGAGTGCTCAATACCATTTAATAACGTAGAGCAAATAATTTAATTTCTTAACTTAAAATATAGTCACAACTCTGAGTTTCACGCTCAATGCGATCTTCAGGCGACAATGTTTAAATCTCAATAAAAAATTCCTGTATGATTACGTGCGAGTTCGTTAGGCTACTTGCGTGATGGTATTGCGTGCGCACGTTCAAATTTTCCCGCCAAGAATTGTTTCCGGTGGCAACACTTCGAGAAAAGCTCACATCTCCTGTTCAGTAATCTTTTCTTATCACCTTTCAAAATTTCGAGTTTCTCTTGGAGGCATAGGTTGCAACTTTTTGCGCCGCTGCGATAAGATGATGCTTGCTTCAGAATGGACCACTTGATGTTGAATGTACGTTCCTTGTTTTTCAAGTTCCAAATGTGTTTGGACAGCTCAGTGGATTTTACATAGCTCGTATCTTTGAATGATGTCTTGTGGTTGTAATAACGTTTCTTGAACGTGTTTGATGTCATCCCAATATAATCTCGAATTACTCCTGTGTCGTCCGTAACCTCGGCTTTATAAACAACGTGTATATGTATATGTATATGTATATATATATATATATATATATATATATATAATATATATATATATATGTATATATAATATATATATATATATATATATATATATATATATATATATATATATATATATATATATATATATATATATATATATATATATATATATATATATATATATATATATATATATATATATATATATATATAAAGCTTCAAATTGAAAATAAATGTTATTAAACTTCAAATAAATTAATACATGTTGTAAAGATAAAGATACGTTTCGGGGCACAGCCCCTTCGTCAGAAACGAGATAAGTTCAAATCCATGTCCTTAAATACTTTTGGCCCAATCCTAATTAACATACACTAATAATATATATAGACTTGCATTAATATTCCTCCCTCAAATTTAATCCCAGTGGTACATATGTATTCAATTTTCAATCCAAAAACTTTCCCTCTCTGTAGGTTTATTAACATCCGTGATATCAATAATCTGTGCTTTAAAATCATTAAGACCCGAATGGCCCTCCTCAAAAAAATGTTCATACAAATGTTGACCACATAAACCTCTTTGGCCCTTAGAATATCTATTAAGCGAACTCTTGTGGTTATTAAATCTAAGACGAATATATATATATATATATATATATATATATATATATATATATATATATATATATATATATATATATATATATATATATATATGTCACCTTATAGCTAAGTATTTTTAGTGAACGTACAGGAAAAGTTGGAACTAATTAGTTGGATTCGAACCGGTCGTCGGTTTGCCATGTCGTGATGACTAACATATATATAGGCTGAAGAAGACATGTTACTGTCTAAATGGTATAAACAAATTTGCCATGGCTTTGGTAAGCAACTTCTTCCCAACTTTTCCTGTTCACAAATACATGCTTACATAAGGTGATATAAGGTGACTAACGGGAAATATTCGCCGAGATGAAGTCGAGGTGAATATTCCCCAATAATCACCGAGCCTGAGGCAAATAATTGTTTTAGTATCTTTACGCAAGCAGCTTTGTGTTTTTTGAGACTGGATTTATTTTAATTTTGCTTATTTCTTTGGCATTAAACTTCCGCATTATACTTCCGTCGGTTGGTTTATTTTAAACCAAAAAAAGACTTCTTCAAGCATATTGTGAGATTATTTATTAAATTCCTCAGACGTTTCGCCGGTTACGGCTTCATCAGTGAGTGCAATAATCTGAATAATAAAATCGTCCTCTATATATACATGCATTTATCGCTTGATTGAGAATGTAAAAGCTAAAGAATGTTATTAAAAATGTTAATTTTTAATAATTATTAAGAATCACTGAAAGGCTTGAATCCTGGGTTTTTCGTACAATAAACTAAAATTAATTATTAAGAATGTTATCCCCGAGCCATTCCGCCCGGCTATTTACACCCGGGTGTTTGAAAACATAGCGAAGTGCAAAGTTGTCCTCCATTATGTGATGGACGGTCTTCGATGTTATTGCGCATGCACGTGTAATAGCTCGCACTAAAATTCTAAAAATATTGTTTTTCATTTTGCAAAGATGTATTTTGATATTTTACAATATATTTCTGCGACCTATTTCGCTATTTAACTGGAAAAAATCCTGCAGTTTCATGAATTAGTGGCTGTCAACCGTGAAACAAAGTGTGAAAGGCATGCATAAAGTTATAAACTGATAAACACGAATTTTGTCGAAGACGAACCACATCGATGTTTTTAATATAAAATTTAATCGTTGTCTTGACTCTTGGCTATCTTGGGTAAGTGTTATAAACAATTCAGTATTAAAATTTCATACCGTACTTGCTTTGTGTTTTCGATTTCATTCATATCGGCGAGATTTTTATGCCATTTAACTCAATAAATAATATATTTTTACGCAAGCTGGTATTTACATGAAAATGTATAAATGTAGTGATTTTAAATGTTGTTTATTTGGAGCAATTAATACAGCGTATAGTGTTTTTATGCGTGTTTATAATGGTCTTTTACCTACAGCAAATATGGCTTCACCAAAGTATAACTCAAAAACTAGCTTTTGCTTATATAAAGCAAATATATTTCACCGTATTTTCGAGCAAACTACTGACTATACTGTCAACAAAACGAATGAAATCTCATGCGAATCTCATGCGTCAATAAGATCGTAACCTTCTTAGTAAACCGTAACCTATCTTAGTATCATTAAAAAAAAGTCAGATAATTTAGGAAAGTCGTTTTGCCGAAACCCTGCATTCAACCAGGGACCTTCAGATCTTCAGTCTGACGCTCGCCCACCTGAGCTATTTCGGCAGGTACTATATCTCTTAAGAACGTACTTTGAACTGTGTTGTCCTTTCCAAAAAGCTTGTTAAGTTTTCTGAGTGCCCGAAAATGATATCTTTATTGAGCTCGATATGGGACTCGAACCCATGGCCCTCAGATTAAAAGTCTGATGCTCTACCAACTGAGCTAACCGGGCTGCACGGAAGTGGGGAATCTCATGCGTCAATAAGATCGTGATCTTCTTAGTAATTACCTTAGTATCATTAAAAGAAAATCAGATAATTTAGCAAAGTCGTTTTGCCGAAACCCGGGATTGAACCAGGGACCTACAGATCTTCAGTCTGACACCCTCCAATCTGAGCTATTTCGGCAGGTACTCTGCCTCTTAAGAACGTACTTCCACGTGTGTTGTCCTTTCCAAATAGCTTGTTAAATTTGCACAACCACCGAAAATAATAATGCAGTCTTTCTTGAGCCCGATATGGGACTCGAACCCATGGCCCTCAGATTAAAAGTCTGATGCTCTACCAACTGAGCTAACCGGGCCGCACGGAAGTTGGGAATCTCATGCGTCAATAAGATCGTAATCTTCTTAGTAATTATCTTAATGTCATTAAAAAAAAAGTCAGATAATTTAGGAAAGTCGTTTTGCCGAAACCCGGGATTGAACCAGGGACCTTCAGATCTTCAGTCTGACGCTCTCCCTTCTGAGCTATTTCGGCAGGTACTATATCTCTTAAGAACGTACTTTGAACTGTGTTGTCCTTTCCAAAAAGCTTGTTAAGTATGCTGAATGCCCGAAAATGATGTCTTTCTTGAGCCCGATATGGGACTCGAACCCATGGCCCTCAGATTAAAAGTCTGATGCTCTACCAACTGAGCTAACCGGGCAGCACGGAAGTTGGGAATCTCATGCGTCAATAAGTGTTAATAATATAAGTTAATGTTATGCGAAAAAATAGAACTGAACGCATGCATGTGACGTCATATCGTATGACAAAGTACTTTGAACTTTCAGGTCACGCCATCACCTTCGCATATGGCTGTTTTACATAGAAGGTTTTACTGTTCACGTTGTTGATATTAAAATGTAGTTTATAACTCAAATTCCGATGGTTCGCCGATCAATATTCAATAATTCTAATAGGTTATGGGCCCAGGAACGGCAATTCGGATTTAAAGGAGTTTAATATGGAAGAAATATCGCGAAATCAACACATTTTGGGCTTGTGTATTTACGAAAAGTTGTATTAATGGCGGTCTCGAGAAATGACGAACATGCATCGATGTTACGTATCGAAAAGTTTAGCGGAGAGAACTTTCACCTTTGGAAATTTAAAATGCAAATGGTCCTTGAAGATAAGGATCTTTGGGGCATTGTTAAAGGCGATGAGGTAGAACCTACAGACGAAGGAACTACTGAAACTCAGCGTCGGCAATTTCAAAGGCGGGAAAGAAAAGCGTTCGCTACGATTTGTTTATCTTTGGGAGATGAACAGTTGTCTTTGGTTCGCTCAGCTACAACAGCAAAGGATGCATGGTCAAAATTGGAATGCCATTATGAAGTGAAGTCCTTGGCAAATAAATTATTCTTGCGTAAAAAGTATTTTACTATGTCTATGGGGGTTGATGAGTCAATGAGTGAACACATCAACAAGATGAAAGAGCTAGCAGGTCAATTGGAAGCTGTTGGTGCCTCGATCACAGAAGAGGACCAAGTTGCAACGCTATTGTGTAGTCTACCTGATTCATATGATAGTTTAATTACAGCTTTAGAATCCCGTGCTGGTGATTTATCTTTGGTATTTGTTACTGCAAGGTTATTTCATGAGGAACACAAGCGAAAAGAGACAATACCAACCTCTGATTGTGGAGAGAAAGCTCTGTTATCAACAAAGTATGATCAAGTAAATCTAAGAAACCCGAAACCTAAGAGAAAGGGTAAATGTCATAACTGCGGAATACCAGGACATTGGGCTAGAGAATGCCGTAAACCGAAGAGGGGCGGATCGGGTGAAGTAAAAGGAAAGAAAGACAGTTCATCGTACAGTGCAACTACAGAACATGCATCATTTTGGTCATCAGAACATGTGAATTGCAAGGATTCAACATGGTACATTGACTCGGGTGCTTCACAGCACATGTCATATGATAAGGAAATGATGGTTGATTATGTTCATTTTGTAAACCCACAAAGAGTTCGTTTGGGTGATAATCGAGTAGTCGAAGCATTGGGAAAAGGAACAGTCTGGCTTAATATTAAAGCTGAAAATGATTATAAACCGGCTAGATTGGTTGACGTCCTATATGTTCCAGATTTAGCAAAGAATCTCTTCTCGGTAAGCGTTGTTGCTAAGCGAGGATATTCAGTTGAGCTTCAACAGAGTGGCTGTGTTATTCTTGATAAATGTGGAACTATTTTGGGATCTGGTAAAATGCAAAACAATCTATATGTCCTTGATATCAGTGAAAAGAAAGTGGACTGTCATGATGTTAATGCTGCTACCAATGAGCATCTGGAGGATTTATGGCATCAGAGATATGGGCATTTGAGTATGAAGAATTTACGATTGTTGCGAGATCAGAAGTTAGTGACTGGATTGGACTTCCAATCTACTAAAGAATCTGACTTTTGTGAGGGTTGTGCACAAGGTAAACAAAAGAGAGCACCATTTCCTAAAGAACAAGCAACTCGAGCCAGTGAAATTCTCGGAATTATTCACAGTGATGTTTGTGGACCAATGCAAGAGAACAGTCTCGGTGGTAATAAATACTTTGTGACTTTTATTGATGATAAATCGAGATTCACAGCAGTTTATTTCATGAAAACCAAGGATCAAGTACTTGATAAATTTAAAGAATACGAAGCAATGGTCACTAATATCACAGGAAAGAAAATCAAGATTCTTCCACGACGTTCAACGCGCATACGAGAACCACCAGATAGACATGGTGTAGTAATTACTGGCAATTGGTGGCAAAATAATGTTGCGTGTATTAATAGCGAGTTCAGTCCAGAAGAGCCTACAACTATAAGGGAAGCTCTAAATTGTTCAGATAAAGAAAAATGGAAACAAGCTCTGGACAATGAATATTCAGCTCATATTAAGAACAATACATGGACATTAGGGAATCTGCCTGAGGGTCGTAAAGCTATTGATTGTCGATGGGTATTTAAAGTTAAATACAATGCGGATGGGTCTGTAGAGCGCCACAAAGCTCGTTTAGTTGCGAAAGGATACTCACAAGAACCTGGATTAGATTATGATGAAACCTTTTCCCCTGTAGCGAAGTATACATCTATTCGTTCACTATTGGCAATTGCTAACCAGTTAGATTTAGAAGTACATCAAATGGACGTTTCTACGGCGTTCTTGAACGGTGAATTGGAAGAAGAAATATACATGAAGCAACCAGAAGGATACGTGAAAGAAGGTGAGGAAGATTTAGTTTGCAAATTAAACAAGAGTATCTACGGCTTGAAGCAGTCATCAAGGTGTTGGTACAACACGATCGATCAATTCTTAAAGAATTCCGGCTATGTACAATCAAGCTCGGATCCTTGTCTGTACATTAAGCGAGAGGGAGATGATATCATGCTCATAGCCTTGTACGTCGATGACTTGATACCAGCTAGTAATAGTAAGAGAATGCTTCATAAAGAGAAAGAAGCATTGAGAAAGCGTTTCGAAATGAAAGATCTCGGTGAAGTTCATTATTGCCTTGGTATTCAAGTAGAACGAGATAGAAACAAGAAACGAATGAGATTACATCAATCACAGTATCTCACGAACTTGTCAAAGAAGTTTGGAATGGAGGAATGCAAACCAGCTGCAACGCCTGTTGATCAAGGCACTAAATTACTACCTAACGAAGGAGAACCAGTTGAGAAAACCAAGTATCAAGCCTTAATCGGGGGATTAACTTATGCGGTAACTGGTACTAGACCTGACCTTGCTCAAGCGTTAGGATTGGTTACGTTAGGATTGGTTAATCAATTTTGTTCAAACCCAGGAGTTGAACACTGGACAGCAGCTAAACGTATTTTACGATACATCAAAGGAACAATTGATTACGGAATTACATTCGATGGAAACAAAGAAACTGAAGTACAGTGGAATGGTTATGTTGATGCTGATTGGGGAAGTAATCCAAACGGACGGAAATCGCAATCAGGATATTTGTTTACACTGTGTGGAGGAGTAATCAGTTGGGCTAGTAAGAAACAAAGTGTTGTCGCACTTTCTTCAACTGAAGCGGAGTATGTCGCTGCATCGTTAGCGTGTCAGGAAGCAGTTTGGTTACGTGTGTTACTCGAAGATATCAGTTTTGTTCAAAACAAGCCAACGATGATCAAAGAGGATAATCAAGGTGCAATAGCTTTGTCAAAGAATCCAAAGTATCATCCCAGAACAAAGCATATTGATATAAAGCACCATTTCATTCGTGACAAAGTTGCAAAGAAGGAAGTTGTTCTAGACTATTGTCCTACAGAACAAATGTTAGCGGACTTGTTAACTAAACCATTAGGGAAAACATTGTTTCAACGTTTTAGAGAACTGATGGGAGTTAGAAGCAATCTTTAGAGTTTAGTTTATTATTGAACGTTTAACGAACACGATATATATATATATTTACAGTTCATATTTTTCGAGAGGGAGTGTTAATAATATAAGTTAATGTTATGCGAAAAATAGAACTGAACGCATGCATGTGACGTCATATCGTATGACAAAGTACTTTGAACTTTCAGGTCACGCCATCACCTTTGCATATGGCTGTTTTACATAGAAGGTTTTGCTGTTCACGTTGTTGATATTAAAATGTAGTTTATAACTCAAATTCCGATGGTTCGCCGATCAATATTCAATAATTCTAATATTTTGATCCGTAAGAATGCTGTTTGATGGGCTATTTCCCATCTCCACAGGCTCGTTGAGGTCTGCAAGTCGCGGTACAAACTTGCCAACATGATTTACCATTCCTAAAAATCGTCGAAGCTCGGTGATATTTTTAGGTGTTGGGAACTTGGCAATGGCTGTCGTTTTGTCTGGGTCAATGTGGATGCCCAGATCGTCAATCACGTGTGCCAGGAACTTGATTGACTCTTTACTGAACTCACACTTCTCATTCAGGGTCAAACCTGCATCCTGAACACGTCGAAGTGCTGCACGAACTCTTTCGTCATGTTGGACCTGATCTTTTCCATCAATCAAGACGTCATCCATCTGACAGATTGTTCCATCAAGACCTTCTAGGATACCAGACATAGTCCTTTGAAATATCTCAGGAGCTGAGCAGATGCCAAATGGCAACCTGTTAAAACAGAATCTACCAAATGGTGTTATAAATGTTGTCAAAAGTCTCGATTGTTCGTCTAGTGGGACCTGCCAGAACCCACTGTCCGCATCAAGCTTGCTGAAAACTTTCCCCTGGCCCAGCTTGGAAAGGCTCTCATCCACAGACGGCATTGGGTGTATTTCTCGCTTAACCGCCTTATTTAACTGGGTTAAATCAACACAGATGCGGACTTTCCCATTAGGTTTTGGAACGCAAACCATACCCGAGCACCATTCAGTAGGAACAGTCACGGATGAAATAACATTCTGCTTGAGCATAGACTGTAATTCTGCCTCGACTTTGGGTGTCAGGGGAAGGGGGCACCTTTCTTGGATTGTACAGACAAAACGGGGTGGCATCATCACGCAGTGTTATATGGGGTTCCGTTTTTAGCTTCCCCAACCCTTTGAACAATCCAGGAAACTCCTTTCGGAAGTCAGGGGGGGGACTGAATAACTTCCCCTACATCATTCAATTTGACAAGACCCAATTGTACACAAACTTTCTTGCTTAATAGGGAGCAAGGCTAATTCCGAATAACATATACCAGTTCCTGGACCTTACTCTGACGGTATTTCATGGTAGCCATGAAAGTTCCCATAACTTTGAGCTTGGACCTTTTGTTGAGGTTTCTCCAACGTAATTCCCTCTAGCCATGGAACTAAATCACTTAGCACACAAACTGATGAGCCTGTGTCTAGTTTAAACTTTAATTGTGTTGTGACCATTCACCCCTATTTATGCAGTCCAGGAATCATTACTTTCCCCATTGATCTCCCCGAGAAACAGGACCGGATCTTCCCCCAGGCTCTTAACTTCGTTAACTGACTTGGAAAAACTTGACTTGCTCTGATAAACTGCTTGCTAGTGGCCTTTTTTCTTACATTTATTACAGGTAACTGACCTTGCTGGACAAACTTTACGGTCATGCCTCTCATGGCCACACCAATTACATTTATCCCCTGATTTCTTAGGTGCATGGTGTATGGGGACCCTTAGATTCCTGGCAACGAGGATTTTGCTTGTGATATCTCCCCTTGGTTTGGGCCCCATTTCGGACATAATAAACATCACTAGACTTTGTGGCGTCCCCTCTCACTACATCTCTGTTATGTTTTCGTTCCTCTGCTTGACGGGCAATCTGTACTGCTTCTTGTAAAGTCAGTTTTGGCTTAGACTGTAGGCGGTCTGAGAGTAAATCGTCTACAACTCCTACAATAATTCTATCTCTAATCAATTCGTTTTTTAATGTTCCATACTCACAATCTGCTGCAATTTTGTACAGATCCGGGATTAATGTATCCACTGGCTCTCCAGGGTGTTGAACCCTCCGGTTGAAGCGAGCACGCTCAACAAGTACGTTTCTTCTGTCAGAAAAATGATTCTCGAGTGCTGACTTGACTTCTTCGAACGAAGCTTTGTCCTCGACAATTTGTAGCGTTTTCAAGATATCATCAGCGCATTCACCCATCGCATACAGTAATGTAGATACTTGTTCGGCATCCGATTTATTATTAAGCCCCGAGGCAATTCTGTAGCGTTCAAACCGGCGTATCCACTTCGGCCACAAGTCGCCTTGTTTTGGGCCATTTCCCCCATCGAATTTCTCAGGAATCGGGATATTTGATACTTGGGACATATTCCCTGTTGTATCGTCTGCCATTTTACTATTTTTCACCGCTGCCACCATGTAGTAACGTAAACGAGCCCAGTGTAAGATACAAAATATATTGTCTAAACTAAATACAAGATGGCGGAACTCTCTTTTATACATGCCCCAACATGCGTTGGGGTCGTCAATGCACAGGGGTACCGTACTCTACAATAGCAACAATAATATACTTGGTGCTAAATGTAACAAAAACTTGAGTAACAGAGAAAATTAATTCTCATCTTCAGATTATTTTCCCCTCATTGATTATTTTCCCCCCATTATTTTCCCCTCAATTTAACAAACTACCCTTTCATGTTAGAGCTACTGACAGTTTTATGCAATTGAAAATAGCATTTAAAGAACATTTTAATCTGTAGGGTAAACGAAACATAGTATTTTGTACTAGTGTTCTCTGGACTACGCTATAATCAGTACTGATTTTAGTTTTTTTTATCTTTTTATCATAGTTTGCATGCTTTATTACCTTGTAGTTTAGAAATACAGGACATGCGTTGATAGCAGTAATTTATTACTGAAGCATTTTTATCCTGTGAAAATATTCTTTAATAATAATAATAATAATAATAATAATAATAATAATAATAATAATAATAATAATAATAATAATAATAATAATAAACTGTTAATAGGTATCTTAAAAACTAGAGTGTATATAAGAATCTCACAGATTTATAATTTAAACTGTCATTAAGATAAATCAGGTTTTTTATTGTCTGTTTTGTAAATGAGGTTCCTTGATTCATTCATGCAAGCATTGATCTTTAAACTATTTTTCCAATATCAATGAACAGTCATGATATTAATGTCCTAGGAGGCCTTGTCATTTGTGATACCAAATTTGTAAAGTCACAGCCAAAGGATTTTAATAGGTTCAAGTCAATATATTATCCCTAAAATTTATTTTTGAAGAGAAGTAGGTCCAGCAATTTCTTTCATATCGCAATATTATTTTATATTACGCCAATGTTTAAGAGGGCACTCGACAGCGAAGCTAAAACGACGACTTTAAATGGTAGTCTTTAATACTATGTTATGAATAAAACAACAACGAGGCCAAGACAAGCCACAAGAGTATACTAACATGAAGTAAAGGTCGCCTAGGCGCGAACAAGATCGCAGGCGCATGTGATCTTTACTAACAACAATAACAACTAAAAGCCACACTATGGCGTTAAACGATTGTTTTATATTAAACGATTGCAAGCCAATATGCCAAGTTGAATTACACTGTATTGAATAGTTGATCACAGATTCACAGAAGGTTTGATGAACTCGATTTATTTCCTTCATTGTTCATGGCATTCACGTCCTTAATCCTTTTATACACCATGAAATATCACCAACTTATCACTCAAAACATATTTTACGGCGATCGGACTAACCACACATAAGCTATATAAATTTATATGTTTATCACTATTCGCCAAAAACCGAGGTGAAATTAATCGATGTATGACAATGGCCAAATTCCACGCTTAAATTCGTTTCTCATCCTCATAGTGACAATTAAATCAAAGAACAACCTCTTCTTTATGATATTTCAAAGTATCATGGGTTTTGCTTGGATACATGCATAAAAAGCTAGAGCACTTTTAGTGGCTCTATTTCGTATTCCGCCATATTAACTCCTATAAAATTTCCTCTGGTTTGTTGCTTTCAGCATGGCAGCCACACCGGAAGTCGGCTGACATTCTGGCACACTTTTTACCCACGAGTGAAACTTCTGCCCTATATCTATTCTGTGGTGCAATACGTGAGTTTGACAAATAACCTATTTCTCTTCTGTGGGCGGAACCATGCGTTCGGTGGGCGGAACTCAGAATGTGTAGTTTTTGGGCAGGCGGTATTTCTAGCTTCCCGTTCTCTCGCGTGCCCGCGAATACCGCCTGCTACGCAGGCTATGTTTTTTTTTTATACACTCTGCATGCATGTATACCTTAAACCTTTCCTAAAGTTATCGGATACATATAAATATATACATCAATTTCTATACACACATTTCAATTGGTTCATCAGAGTTTAGAGAACTTACATTCGACTTTTTTTGCACCAAGTGAATATGTATCCCACTAGACTAAACAATATCTTAGACCTTATCCTAACAAACACTTCGGAAAACATTGGTAGTTTATCATGCGTTTCAGCAAAATCTCTGAACCTTTCAAGTGACCATCGTCTGATGTTCTTCGATTTTATGCTTCATTTAAAATGCCAGGGCATGACAAGAGAACTGTATTCAATTTCAAACTTGCTGATTGGGACGGTCTACGAAATGCACTAGTCAATCACACTACTTTTCCTTCTAATCAGTCAACTGACGTCAACATCGATTGGGAGCGACGGAAAGGTCTCTTTCTCAGAGTTTGCTACTGAATATATTCCATTAAAATCGTTCAAAAGGAGCAACTCACCTCCCTGGATTGACGGTGAAGTTAAACGTATTCTCTCGAAGAAAGATAAGTGCAGAAAACGGGCTAAACGCGAGGCATCTCCTAGACTTTGGGAAAAGTTCCGCGAACTTCGAAGATCAGCCAAAACGTTAATACAAGCTAAACGTACGGACTATTTTCAAAAACTTCCATCTTTGTTAAAGTCCAGTAGCAAAAAGTTCTGGTCACTATTTAAATCCACCTCAAATCACTCCAACATCCCTGCTAAAATGTCATGGTCCATTCAAGATTCAACGTCTTCGACTGCTGACAACCCAGTTGATATTGCTGATATGCTAAATCGTAACTTCTACTCGGTGTTTCAAACTCCCGACCTTACCACAACCAACTCTTCTCTGTTGATTTTGAAGATGACATGACCGATCTAACCACCATCTCAGATCTTACTCTAACCGAAGGAGAAGTTCGTTATGTACTTCGAAATCTTGACGAAGAGAAAGCAACTGGTCCTGACAAAATCCCAGCTGTATTACTAAAAAACTGCGCGGCTAGTATAGCTCCGTCATTATGTGAACTTTTCAACAAAAGTTTATCGTCTGGTCAACTTCCGTCAGAATGGAAGTTGTCTAATGTTTGTCCAATCCCAAAGGAAAGTCCACTTCATGAAGTTTCCAATTATAGACCAATTTCACTTCTGTCGTTAGTCTCGAAAGTATTTGAACGTTGCATATACAATAGACTTATAGATCATATCTCCAGCAAACTGAATGAGTTACAGTATGGTTTTCAAAGAGGCAAGTTTACTACTTCCCAGCTTTTACATGTTCTTCACAACATTCATAAAATGCTTGAAAAAAGATGCCAAGTTGACACGATTTACCTCGACTTCGCGAAAGCATTTGACAAAGTAAGTCATGACCTTTTACTTGTGAAACTCCATAACTTTGGCATCAAAGGTAATCTTCTTCGTTGGTTTAAAAATTATCTTTCTGGGCGTTTTCAAAGAGTCACTGTACATGGTGTTACATCTCAGCCGCTCCCAGTACTATCCGGCGTTCCCCAAGGATCAATTCTTGGACCAATCCTCTTTCTAATCTACGTAAACGATCTTCCCGATAGCGTCTCCCAAGGTATACTGCCGTGTCAATGTTTGCTATGATACTAAATGTCATCGCGCTGTTCGTAACCCCCAAGACAGAGAAATCCTACAATCAGATCTTAACAATATTACGAATTGGTGTCAAGACTGGAGGATGGATTTAAATAAATCCAAGTGCGGAGTACTTCAATTTACTCGTTGTCTCCAACCTACTATCAACCAGTACACATTAGTTGACATCGCAGTCAAACCTTTGTGGAACCAGCACGTGCAGGACTTATCCTCAAAAGCTAATAAAATGCTGGGTTTTGTCAAGAGAACAGCGTCCGGCATTCTCGATAAAAGAGTTCGAAAGATACTATACTTGACTATCGTTCGAAGCCAGCTAGCTTACAGTAGTCAAGTGTGGCCACCCCAAACTATCAACAACATCCTAACGATCGAACGGTTGCAGCGACGTGCATCAAAATTTATTCTTTCGCTCCCGTACAAAACACCTATCCCGTATAAGAAACGATTGGCTACCATCGGAATACTCCCTCTTTGTTACTGGCATGAGTATTTAGATATGGTGTATCTTCACAAATGCCTTATAAATAACTCTGACAATAACATATCTATAAAGATCCCTACACGAGATACAAGGAATACTAGTTCTACTAAAGGCATCCTACTTCATGTAACCAAAAGTAAAACTGTTTCTTTTCAAAACACTAGCTTTTACATCAGAGCTGCTAATGTATGGAACACGCTTCCCGGCTTCATAAGAAACACCACCACATCTCTAACTACATTTAAATGTAATGTAATGAAATACTACGTAGAATTAACCCAACAAATTTATGACCCTGAAGATCCAAGAACATTTAAGTCTGTGTGTATTAAATGTCACACCACTCGCCCACTAATGAACTTATCAACTCGAACATGTTGTTAAATTTAGTTTTTGTTCGTTTGTTCGTCAATACGTTTGCTTTGTCTCTCGCATTTGTGTTTAATTGTTATGTTTGTTTTAATTTCAAAATAATTAGATATACCATTAGTTGTTCTTTTTTGGAACCCCGTTATTGGAGAACTATCTTTGTGTGGAAATTCCAGTCATTTGTAACCATAGTACTCTATATAGATCTATTGCAATGGCAAACTTGTAAAATAAAATAAAATAAAATATCGCATAATAATAATTTTATAGCCAAAATAATAATAATCTCAAAATTAACGAATTATCGCATGTAATAATCTCGGTACTCAGAGCTCAGTACTATACTAATATATCTAACATACTAATAATAATCTCATAAAACTAATAATCTCATAATAAAAAATAATCTCAGTGCTAAATAATAATCTAATGTATCAGTACTAAATTATCCGATATTTAATATTATATGGCAAGCATCACTTCCGGTGAAATGGCAGACTGTGATTGGCTGAGAAACACTTTCAGCGGTCCATTATTTTCCCGTAATGGCCGGCGGTCCATTACGTAAAAACAAACGCAGGCATTTTACAACAAAACAGTAAGTGTCCCCGATTAGTACGTTATTTTGTAACCGGCTATTTGACATATGACACTTTAATAAAGTTTCTAACGATAACTAAAACTAATTGAAAATTTGAAAATTATAGTTAATTTGTTATTAATAAGATATCTGCGAATGGTTTTTAGTGAAAAAGAAGGAATACATTGGTATTTTTTGTTTTCTTCGACCAACTGTGTACCACGTTATTAATATGCATTTCAAATCATGCATCTCTTGTTTGTTTCAAGTATAAATGCCTGTATAATGCCATATAATAAACTTTTTATTAACCTTGCTTCAACCTCGTTCCCAGGGCCTTTTTTGAAAATGCGGCGATGGCCTTGCTTGCAACCTCGTACCCAGGCAGGGAAGAGCCTGGGAACGAGGTTGCCTTGCTTGTTTGGAATGTACAGCGAAATATTGGACCTCGGTCTTTTTGTACAAACCTCGCCCTACGGGCTTGGTCTGTACACACCTCGCGTTAATAAGAACTTAATAATAATCTCAATAATAATAATAATCTCATTAAAAAATGCTCCCATGCATGAAATAATCTCAGTACTCACCTGGACGAAGTACCAAACGCTGTGAGAAGAGCTGAGATGATACCTTTAAAATGTTTTAGTGGGTTTGCACGTACAAGGACAACGTACAAAACTGGATAGAAGACAGCTGCTTGAACACAATGGCCAACAATATTGGTTAACACAAAAAGACCCATAGCTCTGAAAAGCAAAGTGATATCACTTGCTTCCACGATATTTCCTGCAATTATACTGCAAATTCCAATTGGGGCTATCCTGTAAAACAATATCAAATAATCGAGTTGATTGAAGCTCTTAGAATTTTAATAAGTGATATTCACTGTAGAAGAACAAGAAAGCAAAACGTAAAATCAGACTAAATTTCCATTTTGCATTTCCAGGGAAAAATAAAGACGATTGAGCCCACGCATATTTGCAATTTTTGCATGGCCAACGGAAATTGGCTACTGTAGTTGTAGTGTCGCTGAACATGTGGGAATTTTGTCTGAGCATGCGCTAAAATTCGCGCGGTTAATAGAAAAGAGACTTATGTAGAACGAATAAACATAGTAATTCGACTATTTTTTAGCGTCTTATTGAGGTTTTTGGCCTCGTTTTTCCTACTAACCATTTTTTTTAATCTATTGCATTTTAGGAAAGCCAGAAAAGTATGAGAACGTTCGGAAACGAAAATTGTATAAAAATACAACCTTTGCGTAACTTTACATATCGGAACTGCCTCGGATTCCGACGGAAATGTGCAATAATTCCTACTATTCCCAATTTGGGGTGAACAAATTATCTCTCAATATAAAGTATGGGTTTTAAGCAACAGATTAAAACACATTTGGTTTTGTGGCTTTGGGCAAAATTTTAAAATACTTTAATTTTTGCGATTTCATTGTGCTGATCTTTTCCTCCATAAATCATCCTGTATTAAGAGAGAGAGGGAACATATTCGTGGGATTTCAAAACTATTCATATTTTCTGAATCAACTAGGCTCTAACTTTTCAGCAGATATGCTTTAACGAACATGATTAGCAAAAACATGCAATTTCTAGCCGAATATTCAAAGGCACCTATTAGGACCATTACAGGCTATGTCAGACAGTGGTGCCGTTTTCGGTATCAACCCGAATTTTCATATCAAAATTACTTTGAATTACATTTATTCATTGATATGAAATAGGTAATTGGACAAGTACTGGTGTAAGACATTGTGTAGCCTAAATAATGAGGACCAGTAGTTCAATTGGTTATCCTTTATTTATTTACTCCGACTCCTGTGATGGTGAACATGTACGCAAAAAAAACCCAAGGGAAACTACGATTAGATAGTAACTGAATATGTGAATTTTATGTGACACGATGAGGGCGAGGATATATAAGAGCGAGAGATTGAATTGGAATAGGAAAGGCAACCCTGTACGCGTTTCGACCGAACAGTCTTCTTCAGCAGGGTTTTTTTAAGGGGGGTGTAGATAGAGTTTGCAGAGTGAAACTAGAATGCAGGAGAGTTTAGGAGTACTGAACATATTATGTGAAACCAGAGAAAACAAATTATGAAGTTATAATGAATTATACAATACAAAAATGAAGGTTGAAAGAAAGTGAAAAGGATGAAATTACTGAATATGTTATTAGTAAATTATCCTACCAAAAGTCTTGTTGTTGCGGACATTCCAACATAACGTACTTTATTGTTCATCTTTAACTATAGTTTTTTCGAGCGAAGTAATTTGCTAGTCCTTTACGGTAAAACTGACTCAACGGTATAGTGAGTTTGAATGCTTATGATAGAAGGGGTGGAGTAGGATTTATTCAGTAGCGTGATCATGTGACTGTAGGTGATTGCATCCAAATATGGTGCCAGTGGCTTGATTGACAGGGATAGGGGCGTGAGGCAATTATTGAATTGTGAGGAAATTAATGATAACAACGTGCAGGGTTTGATATTATATAAAAATGATATATTGATTAAACAAAAATATGAATAAACAATAACTGAATTATGTACAAATATACAACAAAACCCAAAACAAAGATGGTAAATGAATAATACGATATGGCCATTGTTAGTTCACAACACTGAGCTCCGGTGTTGATCTTTCCACGCAGGGGATAAGAGTTAATATCTGTATATTGTTATTTTAGTATATAGAACATAAAGCAAGCTTTTTGGACTAAAACAAGTAGCAAAGATAATGTATAAACCACATTGGGATTAAATATATCATGGAATGTCATGCGCTGACAATTACTGAATAAACCTCGTAAAACGCGCTAATCAGCATGCAATACTTTGTTTGAACATGTATAAAGGACCCAGAAGTGGGTAAAGGAATTATTAAAACTCTTGCTATTGACCGTCCAAACATATATTAGGTATGTCCAAGGACATCAGACTGTATCTTTATTGTCAACTGTAGGCGTATGGTGAGGTAGACCAACTTGCATGATTTCCGAGTCTATTCGAGTGGTTTCACGAAGGTGTTATAGTAGGAAATGCCACAGTAGATGCCGAGGATTGTTATGATAAAAATTGGCTGTGGACGCCAATGTTAATCCTTTTCAAGTGTCAATCAGGACGATTAAATCTTTTAAGTGAGTACGCAACATGTCCATGTCCATGTCTCTGGTCATTGACAGATGCTATTGAAAGTGTTATACATTATTGTTCAAAATGTGAGGTTTCTGTTGCAAAAACATGGCCAAAATATCCAGAACTGCCATGACCAATGACGGAACTCCAACAAACGTATCTCATCATATCGAATCCGCTGTCAGATGTGGTGTTAGTTCTGCGGTTAATTTTGTTAGTGTTAATTATTTGAGAGCTTGGAATGCACTATGCGATCCTTAATGTTATGGTTGCGTTTGCAGGAAACCAAAGGGGGTTCGGGCCATAAAAGCTTTAGTGATGGGTCTTGGTCAATAAGATGCCAGTATTTACGCAAGATAGATCCTATATGAGTGGTATTAGTGTTATATGGTACTGAGAACGTTAGTATGGGTTTATTACTATTAGGTTCATTAGTTGCATGACACTGGTTAGTAGAATTATCATCAATCCGAACAATTTTATTCATATTTTCCTGATTTTCGTCAATTAATAGATTGGACTGAGTGTATTGTAGAGCTTTATTAAATGCATTATCAATTATTGCTGCCGTAGCGAGCGAGCGTGAAGCGAGCGAGGCAGCAGTCCTAATCTTTATGCATGTATATGTATATATATATATATATATATATATATATATAAGGCAGATGAAATCTCGATCGTTTCGGCATATTTCGGCCTACCACAATGCACTGCTTCCGGGCCGGCAGGCTATTCTTGGCTAATAAACAGGCATAAGGCAAACAAGCAATGTGATCATCTTTCATCTTTGGTTTTCTTTTATGGAAAGCCATAGCTGGCGTAATATATCAAACGGCATTTTGCCGATACGCAGTGGTTCCAGCGTTATACGCGGTGGTTTCGCTATTATACGCAGTGGTTCGAGCATTATACGTGGTGCTTTCGCCATTATACGCGGTGCGTTCGCCATTATACGCAGTGGTTCGAGCATTATACGCAGTGGTTCGAGCATTATACGCGGTGCTTTCGTCATTATACGGGGTGCTTTTAACATAATTGCTATATTCTTTCCATGTATATAATCTCACGATTGCTTAATAAATCTGGTAGGCCTATGTGGCTGTGCTTTTTGCCTCTGGTCTGCAATGACAATGACATGCTTTTAAAAAGGTTTATTTACAAAAAGGTGACTGCAATTTGTGAGTTCTTATATATTATCATATAGTGTTGATTTATTAGTAATAAATCTGTGTATATAACATAGGTATATAAATTAATATAACGCAGCAAATGCGCGCCAAGCAGTATAAACGCGGCTGAAAGACGATATTAAAATCTTGAATGTACCGTATGATTTAAGTACTGTTTAATAGACGAGTAGGAGTGTTTTATCACATATAAATGATTGAAGGATTTCTGTGTTTTTTTAAAGGATTTTTTTGATTTTGATGGATTCAACGGATTTTGAGGATTTCATGGATTTTTCTAGGTGGAAGTTGTTAATATAGTGAAGGAACTCCTTTAGTTTATCAATTCCATGTGTCCATATTGCAAAGATGTCATCGATGAATCTTATCCACTCAAGTGGAATCAATCCACCAGGGGCATCCCTTAGCATGTTGTGTTCTAATTGACCCATGAAAAGATTGGCATATGAGGGCGCCATTGGAGAACCCATAGCAGTACCTTGGGTCTGGAGATAATATTTATTATCGAATTCAAAATAGTTGTTATGAAGTACAAGTGTTAGTATTTCCTGTAGAAAATCAGTGTTAGCTTCGCTATTAAATCTCTGAAGGTATTCAATTGATGCGGCGATACCTTCATCATGCGGGATGTTAGTGTACAGAGATCTAACATCTATTGTTAGAAGAATAATGTCATTGGGAAGATTATGGTTAAGTTTGAATATACGTCTAAGGAAGTCTGTTGAGTCTTTAACAAATGAGGGGATATTGCTAACTAAGGGTTTGAGGAAGTGGTCCGCATATTTCGATAATCTGACAGTGGGGCCATCACATCCAGAGATGATAGGTCTACCCTGGTTGCCAGCTTTATGAATTTTAGGTAGTAGATAAAGGGTGGGAGTTTTAGTTGGTGTGGGGGGCAATAGGAATTTAAATGTAGTGTAATCAAATTGACCCAATTTGTGGTTATTATGAACAAATTGTCGTATTCTAGTTATTAGTTCAGGGATGGGATTTGCTGAAATATGATTGTAATGGGTGGTGTTAGCAAGTTGTTTAGAGGCCTCATTTACGTAGTCATCTCTTGGCCAGATGACAATGGCCCCACCTTTGTCTGCTGGTTTAACAATCAAGTTGTCATTTTTCTGCAAATCGTTTAATGCAGATATTTGTTCTCTTGAATAGTTTTTATGTATGTTAGTAGGGGTATTTGAGTGCGAGTGTATCTCCTTATAAACTAGGGAAATAAATTCCAAGAGGTTTTCATTATCAGGAAGCGGAGGTGTAAAGTCACTTTTTAATTTGAACGGATGGGAGGGTATATTATTATTAGGAGATTCTTTAAAGAAATATCGTAAATGCATTTTTCGTCGAAAGTCCTGATAGCTACTGTATATAATCTCTCTATTAGTGGGTTGTGGTGTGGGGATGAATTTAAGACCTTTCGATAAAATTTGAATGGTGGGTTTGTCAAGGGGTGTGTTTGATAGATTCACCACACTATCCTTAATATGTTTCATTTTAATATCAGAGAGAATTGCACTTTTACTTTTGAATCGATAATTATTGTTATTTCGTTTAGTGTGCAAATATTTACGTAATTTAGTTTTGGTAAGCTTGTTAGTTAGCGGGGCTTCGTATTGTTTCTCATGTTCAGATGATAGCTGGGCAGATGCATGCGCGAGAGAAAATCCTTCAAATTAGAATTAGTTACGTTAGTGGTTGTGTTATTATTTCTATTCCTCATGTTAGTTGCAAAGGGGAAGGGGTATGGTGTAGGAGTACGTGGGCTAGACATATTTCTGGTGATGGTTGAGCCAACACGTTGTGACCTGACTCTAGCCGGAGGAACTAGAAGAGAGGGCTGTATTATGTGAGGAGACAAGGAACCAACTGTTGAATTAATTCTCCTTGTGTTGTTGGTATTAGGATTAATATTATTGGGAGTGCAGCTCATTAGTGGGTTAATGTTTGGGTAGTCAATACAGGATTATAATTATTATTGGTTAGGTTGGGAATAGAGCGAGACAGGGTATTGATAGGGGTTTTCGTAGAGGAAGTGGTTTTTGTCGACACATAAGGTGGAGATGTATAAGAACCACCATGTGACGCATTATTAGGGCATTTATACGGTTTAAATCTTCGGAGGGTTCTACCTTTGTTAGTTTTATCACCAATATCATTAGTGACCTGTATAATATTCGAGCCCGTTAGTTTGTCTGGAGCGTTACTATATATATATTGGTGAGAATTATCTATGTTGCTTAAGAGATTAGTTTTAGTACGATTATGATTCTCAATTAGTATATCAAGGAGAGTATTAGATGTGTTAGTGAGGGCTTCATCCCATAGTTTGCGTAGGTCATGCGGTAATCTGACCCTGCATTCCACCTTAGGTACGAGGCCTGTTGGGGTGGTATTCCCTATTTACACCAAAACAGATATAGTAAAGGATGCTATGGAGTTAGAAGATGATAAGAAAGACTTCTTGAACAAGAAGGGGGAGCCCAAAGGGGTCAACCTACGGAAAATCACACAGCTCATAAATAGCGGTGGTGTAACCTTTAGTGTGTGGGAGAAACGGAATGATGGCAAAGGAATCGGAAAGCTGGATTGGACACCATTGATGGGCGCAGAGAAGAAGTTGCTAAATACTCTCCCAGATAAACTCCAGTCAAACACTGAAGAAATTATCCATCAGGATACTGCAGCCACAGTCATCAAACTATGGAAGGTATTGTTTATTTATAAATATATATATATATATGTTTATAATAATAATAATAATAATAATAAATAATAATAATAAATGAATTTAATGCCACAAATATGATAATAACAAAGATAAAAGAAAATATATGATATTTAGATCTAATACAAGTTTTAGAAAATGTTAATGGCAAGGAGACATCCAGAAACCACTAGGCTTGTAAAGTGGATGCCTCCTCTGGTCAGTATTCACACTGCAGTATCAAATATTAATATTAAAAAATAATAACGACAACGACAATTTCGATATCATTACTATTTGTCAAACCACCAGCTTTGGTGTTCACCCATGCATTATCATATATTAAAGCGTAATAACGACAGTATATAACGACAATATCAATATCATTGCTATTCATCGAGTAAATGTTTTTTCATTCCATTCCTGAAGCAACCAAAAGTCTCTGCCTGTTTTATATTTTCTGGAAGCGAATTCCACAGTTTAGGGCCATTGAAAAGAATTGTGTGTTGTTTTGTTGTGGTTTTACATGAATGTGTTCGGTACATCTTCGCATTTCTTGTGTTGTAACTATGAACTTCATTGCTCTTAATGAACAAATGAAGGAAGGTAGGAGGGAGTAACTGTTTATAATAGAAATACATAAATTTACCGGTAAAAAATGAGTTGATCTTGTAAATATCAAGTATTTTTAACCTTTGAAATAGGGGAGCGGTATGTGCTAGAAAATCGGAATTTGTTAATATTCTAACAGCTCGTCTTTTGCAATAAAAATATACGACTTAGATGTGAAATATAAGTTGATGACCAAATAATATTGCAATAATTCAAGTAGGGATAAATTAAGGTATAATATAATAATAATTTTGTTTCAGGGGATAGGTGTAAGCGAGCACGGAAAATTATACCAATTGATTTTGAGATCTTTTTGCAAACATGATTTATATGGGATTTCCAAGACAGATTTTCGTCCAAGTAAATTCCCAGAAATTTAACTTGCTGTTTTCGAGCCAGCGAAATTCCCTCGAAAGCGAGAGATATGTCACTAGTGATCTTCTTTTGTCGAGATTTAAAAATAACGTAATTAGTTTTATCTGTGTTGATACTCAATTTGTTCGCCCTCATCCATTGCTCAACATTTTGCAATGCATCATTCATTACCCTAGCAAGTATGTTAGGATCATTATGGGAATAATAAATACTGGTGTCGTCCGCAAATAATAAAAGTTCAACTGAGCGTACCGAGTTGGGAATATCATTGATATAGAGTATAAAAAAGAGTGGTCCCAAAATAGAACCCTGTGGTACACCACATCGGGTAATGGCTTCGGAGGATTTAATTTTTCCAAATTGGACGAAGTGTTTTCTATTTTTGAAATAGCTTTTAATCCAACTTAAAGCGATACCACGGAAGCCATAATGTTCAAGTTTATAAAATAATATTTCATGACTAATTGTATCAAATGCTTTGGATAAGTCAAGGAATACACCAGCTGTCAATTTGTTCTCGTCAATAGAGGTTGCAACTTTGTTAATCAAATGGATGAGTGCAAGTTCAGTTGAGTGTTTCTTACGAAAACCAAATTGATAACAGTACAAAAGTTCTAATTTTTCAATAAAATGCAAAAGCCGTTTATGCATAACCTTTTCAAAAAATTTGGAAAAATTTGCTAAGATTGATATAGGTCTATAATTTGAACATTTGTCCATATCGCCAGATTTAAAAATTGGAATTATCTTAGCAATTTTCAAACTATCAGGAAATACTCCATTTTCCAGAGACTTATTAATTATGTGCGTCAGTGGTTTTGAAATAAATTCAAAGGAATTTTTAATTGTATGCATTGGTATGTTATCATAACCAATATCCGATATCATGTTATTATTTATGTTGAAAGAGGTCGGGTAAGATGACTTCTTCTTACGAATGTTTATGACCTCATTAATCAATTTCCATGTAGTTTTCAAGTCGGATTTAGCTTGCTCGAATTTAGTATCATAATAAGTTCCCTTAGCTATTCTAATTAAATGATTCAATTTATTTTTGTATTCTTTGTATTTCCTCTCTTGGTAAGTTGTGGAATTAGTCATATACTTTTTGTAAAGCTTATTTTTCTTTCTTACAGAAACTAACAATCCTTTTGAAATCCATGGAGTTTTGGGTTTATTGTAAGAATTTGACTTATACATTTTTAGAGGAAAACATTCTTCGAGATGCCTATTGTATTCGCTGACAAAATCGTTATATAGGTCATTTGGATCTTCATCAATTAAGACGCTTGACCAATTTACTTGTGAAAGAGCTGTTTGGAATTTTAACAAATTCCGTTCCGCATAATCTCTCTTATAAATTACTTCATTTCCTCGACGTGTGGGCGAGTCCTTTTTAAAATATGCAAACACAGGGAAATGATCTGAAATGTCATTAAGGATTAATCCATTCAATGTGTTTTGTTGAAAACAATTTGTGAATATGTTATCTATAAGGGTAGCTGAATGAGATGTTACACAGGTCGGTTTAGTAATGAGAGGAATAAGCATGTGTGAAAACAAGGAATCAAGAAATCCTTGTGTATAATGGTGACTATCATAATGGAGTAAATCTAAATTGAAATCTCCCATAATATAACAGTGTTTGTTATCTTTAGTGATAATCGATAGTATTTTGTTGATTTCCTCTAGAAAAGATGCGATATTTTGGTTTGGTGGTCGATAAATCGTACCTACTATAGAGTTTTTACCCTTAGGATTAATAATTTCAACAAACAAAGACTCAATTACCTCAGGATTGGAGATTGTGCAGTTACCAATTTGTTTATACTGAAAATGGTTGTGTAAATATAGACCGACCCCCCCACCGGCTTTATTTATTCTATGATTGGAAATGAAATCATAGCCCAGGAGATCAACCTGATTAAATGTTTCATCATTCAGCCAAGTTTCAGATAAACCAATGATAGAAAATGTAGTATCCGAATTTGCAGTTAAAGTTTTAAACCTGTCAAAATTACCAAGCAAGCTACGACAATTCAAATGAAGGAAAGACAAATTAAAGCTCTTTTGCGGTTCACTGGCTAGGTCACAAATTTCACTTTCTACCACATATTTGCTAGCGGGCGGTGAACATGTATAGAAATTTTGATCTGGATCATGATCTGTTATTGGAAAATTGTCTATTACTAAATTCAGATCTTCTAACAGGTTAAAAACTAGGGTTTCTACGCGATCAATGTTGTAATTGAGAGATAATTCGTATAATACCGCATAAAATGATATGTCATCAAGATGGTTAAAGGGTAACAGTTCAGACAACGATGACACACTTAAATCATCCATCGTAGTAGGATATTATTAGACAATAGTTCAAATAAAAGGTTACTTATCTTAGATTAAACACATGTTTAAGTGGCTGATTCCAAATCATCCAACTTGAGGAGCCTAATGACCGGAGCGCCATCAGACTTACGAAGACAAATTGCTTTGTTCTTAACCCAGCAAAATTTATACTGCTGGGCTCGTTTAAACTTATTTGCTTCGTATAACAATTCTTGTAATCTTGGAGTTAGGTGTTCGTATATTCTAATATCACCCATTTGAATTGTGGAAGGTAATTCAAGTTGTGCAGGTTTCAGACCTTCGGTCCGTTTCTTTACAGCAAGCACTCGATGTCGGGCTATGCGACGTGTAAATTTACAGATAATCGCGTTAGGCATGTGAGTACGTTGTCTAGCGGGCACACGATGAGCTATATCTATGTCATATTCAGAGATATCTGTCGCCCCAATAGCGTGAAGTAACTTTATACACAATGCCGTAGTTTCTTCTGCAGATTCTGCTTCACGTTGTTGTGGGACACCAGTAATCTTAAGATTGTACTGTAGCTATACTCTTCGGCTTGCTCGATTGCACTTGCAATATTCTCACACTTTTTCGATATTACATCAATCTGTGATTTGATTAGCTTCAGATCCTTCATAGAGTTTTCTTTAAATTTAGCGAAGACATCATATTGATCACTAATAAACTGTATAGATTTCTTTTCGGATTCATTCAAAGATTTGGTTTGTTCAGCAAGATAGCCGCTTTCTTGTTCGACATATTTGTCGATTTTCTTGTCAAAATCTTTAGTAACTTGACTTAGTTTCACGTTTAATAGAGCTATTTCTTCTCTCAATTCAGAATTTTCCTTTTTTAATTTAGCTGTTGCCATTTAATAACTTTTGCAGCAACAAATGGCCTGACATTTGTTGCTGCAACATAAAGGCTAATAGTTTTTCACTGTACATACATTTCTGCCGTTTTAAAGTTGGATACTCTGACTCTTTGTCATTTCTAGTCTTGGTTTTCTTGTCTTCATGATCTGACACGAGGATTTCGGTGTCTTCATCACTGTCAGCATCGCAATCAGTTTTAATGTGTTTTCATTTCTTGTGTTTACTTCTCTTGTGTTTTTTTTCTCTTGCCTTCTCGTCTTTTCCTTTTCATTGTATTCTTGACCTCTTCGTCTTTGACTTTGTTGTCAGCCGAATGAAGAACACATTTATGAGCTACATAGTTCAAATATAAAATTGTCCATATTTTTTGTTCACACTTTTCCTCCATTAACCAAATAATAATGCCCAAATTTAAATATTCCAAATGAAATGCTGTATCTTGTCTTAGTGTTGATTGTATCCATAGATATAGGAGATCTAGATTGCTAACACATACCTAGCGCAGGCAGGGCCTACATGATAAATCCAAGATGGCGATACAACAGGGCAAAACGACTATAGATTCTATACGAAAATCAGGATTTTTGCATTTTTTGCCGTCGCATTGTTTTGAAACTTATTCGGTCAAATTTTATGGTAAAGAGAAACTTACCGCGAAGATTTTGAGCATATATATGATTGAATTGGATGAAAAATCGCAAAATTTTCCAGCGATAAAAGTTCGTGTGAAATGGGCAATTGGTCAGTTGGAGCGTTTTATTGCCAGAAATACTGTGCTATGTTAACATCTAGCCTTGTGAATGGTGTTTTATACTTGCATCTCTCATCATCATCTGCTCTGTCCTCATAATTATGAAAAATGAACTGTTATGTACCCCCCCCCCCCTCCTTGCTTGTTAGAGAAGTAAACTGATGAGAGCACTGGATGAGGGTCTATCATCTATGGTCTGTTATAATTTGCTTTTTATGCAAATAGTGAGCGAAAATTAAAGCAAAACTGTACATGTCACATATATAGTACTATACACAAACTTTTATCGCTGGATAATTTTGCGAGTTTTCATCCAATTCAATCATATATATGCTCAAAATCTTCGCGGTAAGTTTCTCTTTACCATCAAATTTGACCGAATAAGTTTCAAAACAATGCGACGGCAAAAATTGCAAAAATCCTGATTTTCGTATTACAATTTATAGTCTTTTTGCCCTGTTGTACCGCCATCTTGGATTTATCATGTAGGCCCCACCTGCGCTAGGTATGCGTTAGCAATCTAGATCTCCTATATCTATGATTGTATCACAGACACAGGTTGTATTGTACATGTATCCTTGTGGTTTTGTTACGGATTAAAGATTATCATGATATCATATATCAGACAACACTTACGATAACTTAAAATATGTTAGCTGATGCTCTATGTAGCCTACATATTATAGCCTCAGCTAAAATATTTTAATTTAGGTATATTAATAATATTATCACATATACAGGTAATTCAATTAAGGTTGACTTACCAAAACCTTAAAGTCTGTTCGGCACATCAGTTCTGCTCATACAAAGGGGGGCCCGCAGATATAAACACTGCCAAATTTTGCATCTTTCTAACTTTTTTAATTGAGACATAGAGTTTATATTCATTTACAAGCATAGTGAACCAGAAAAGTGTTAGATATTCAGTTAGTATATCATATTTTACAAATATAGCAGTTCAAAATGTCACCAAAACGTTAGTTTACATTACGGGCTTTACAGCATCTTTAAACTACGCTCGTCACCTCACACCGGATCTTGTCATACTCATATACCATTTAGTTTACACTTAAATTTTTCTTTTTTAAAACCAATAGGATTTTGCCGACATATACTTCAACTGCATTTCCTCTAATAACCCTGTTGAACTGGAGACATGCGGATCTAGGGTAAGTCATTTTCTGGTGCGTGGATATCATATCATATATCATGTGTAATTTTGCAATGTGGTGGTAGAAAATAATACCAAACACAAAAATAAAATAGCAATTCCTTGAGGAATTATTTTGCAAGCTTTTCTTATTTATTTCAGATGCGACGCTGGATAGTATTGTTTCTTACCTTGAAACACCATAGAAAGGGTCATGCAAATAGAAATATAACACCGTATATATGCATGCAGCAGCATATCATATCCAGGATGTTCTAGACAAATTCAAGAACTTGAAACAATTCAGTGGACAAGGTACGAAATCTACGAATCTTTATACCTGTACCATACCAACACGAGGTACTCAATATTGTTTTTTGCACTTTCTTTACAGGTGTTGAAAAAAACAATGACGTTGCAAGGAGTATAGTACTTCGTAAATCAAACAACTTTGACAGCCCTGCAGAGGTGATATGAGCGGAACACAGAATTAAAACTCTGTACAAAAGGGAAAAAAGGAAAAGACAGTACAAATGGCGGGAAGCAAGAGTCCACTAGAAACAAAAGACAAAAATGCATAAGCATACAAAAGCAGGATGTTACAACAAGACATGTCATAGGCAATAGCAGTATAACAGAGGAACCAAGAAATGTGCAACAGAAAGTTGCAAAAAGGTGCAAAAAGTACAAAAAATACAAAGAAAAGATGGATCATGCATGTATATAGGTGTACAGGAATATATATTAAATTTTGGTGTGTATATATATTAATTAAATTCTGCTTAGTTTTTACAGTATATACTATTTTACATGCAATACACTTTAGAATTAACCATAATTAGCTAGGTTTATATTTATATTAACAATAAGGAGGGCACACTGGGTTAATATATATTAATCCATTAGCTGGAAAGATTCCCCTTGGCAAGTAAAATTGTCTGTCTTAGACAGAGCAAGATAATTGGCAGATCTGTTAACTGTGTAAAATAACAAGGCAGAGTGCATTGGGTTAAGAAGAGGCTTTGATGATAAACTTAATGGGTTAACCCATTCAATATCTTGGTTTCCACAACAACATGTTGTCAACACTTTAGGAAATCACATCATCCAGGGGCCGGTTGTTCGTAAGCCCGTTTAGGCTAAACAGTGGATAAGTTGAAAATATTGATCAAGTTTATGCATTCATCAAATAACCAAACTAAAATATTTCAACTTCCACTCAAGTTGAAATATTTTAGTTTGCAACTATATATTTAGTGCATGAGATTTAAGTTCAGTAATTTACTAGAAATACATGCACGCAACAACCCCTTGCCTATATTCTCCAAACATTGTTTTAACATGAAGTATTCGTAAATATGCCAACACTGAATGCAGGCTCGCATTGCCACTTTATGTTAATAATGGCAACACGATAATTTTTTAAATTTTTTTTTGTACAAACCTGCAACAAGTAGATGAAATTGAACACTTTTAAATACAGAACTATCAATTTCTAAAATATATAAAGTAGGTATATTATTTTGGTTTCTATGGGCTTTATTTTAATGTAAAATTCGAAACGAAACTACGTATTAAAAACGTTTCTAAATGTGAATTGAATTTTAACTGCTTTTTGATGATATTAATCTCTTCAACTTATTACTCGCACTTTGAAATGAAATAAATTTAATTCGTACAGGACGCTAATGAAAATAAATTGCTTTCCTTTTTATCATGAACTTCTACAAAAGTTAATTTAACTAAGAAACTTTAGCATACAATGTATAGGAAAGACTTGAACAACAAGAACAAAATCTATATTAATAATACAAAGTGATGCATACATAAACAATCGAAACAAACTTGGCAGGTACTTTAAAATTTATCATACTAAATCAATTCTTAGTTAATGTTTACCTTTAAAAATTGAAGAAAAGTTTTACAATTTGTTATGTGAAACGATTTTCCAAGCTTTCTTACATATATTTTTTTAAATTTTACCGTTCTTCACTCCTGGCAAACAGCCATATTTTGAGATCAGAGAGATGACCACCCATACACCCATGAACCGTGCCCGCGATATTTGATGAACTTTAGACTTCGCTAGTGCGATCCTTGTCCTGGGTGTAAATAGCCGGGGGGATTAGTACCCTTGCACGGCGCTTTGCACTGTCGGCTCAGGGATAAAATGTGTGAATCTGATAAAATGTGTGAATATGTTGTTATTTGACGTTTAAGCTAAATGAGCTTTGAACAACCATCCCCTGGTCTATTAATCTGGATAAAAGGGCGATGGGTTAACTAGTTAATGTTCAATGGAATTAACTGTTCAACAGAACAAAATATTAAAGTAGATTGCACCAGGATGCATTTTGACTGGATGAGTTAATAGCACTGAACTAAGAACTTCCTCATGCAGCTACGGGGGGAGTACACCTTAAATTTTACATTTGTGACATCATATTATTGTATCGGCTCTTAATATTGATAGATTATTGCAATTGCAACATGCTACACATCATTTCAAAGCTTATTAGATGCTGAAAATGATTATAAAAATACTGGGTTACAAAAGTTAATTCATCATAGGAAAAAAGTGCTTGGAAACATGACAAAATCTATTTTTCGGCAGTCCATCTTTAAATTCTATCTTGTCAGAGGCCACCTATCATAGGCTAATGATCATTATTTCTTTATATTTAGTACACTTTAGAGAAAAAAATAATGGATGCTTTTGGAGTAACTAGGTTTCTTGTCCCCATGGGAACCACTTGAATACAAGTAACATTTCACTGTGGGGTAAAATTTGTCTAAAATGTTAAGGAAGTAACTAATTGAAAAAAGCATCCATCATTTTTTTTAGCATTGTCTTGGGAATCTCCTCTGAAAAAATCAGCAAGATTGGTCAAATAGTTTTCAAGTTATTAGGTTTTAGGTGACGGCCCCTGCCGAAAATACCATTTTCGAGAAAACGGCTAACAAAGTTTATAAACCATGCACAAGTGTTTTCCATGTGTTGTGCTCTAGTAAAGACATTTAAAAACTAATGTCAAACATTGTTGGTCAACTCTGATGTTATTTCAACAGTAATTGAGCATGTGAAGCATTGTCACTGCTATCAGAAGTGTCTGAATCTGCTTCAGGTAAAATCCTAGCATATGGTATGTTGCCGTCATCACTTGAAATATCAACTTGGCCCAATGGATCAGCTTCATTATACTTTCCACTGCTATAGGATGGTTCACCTTTCTCATTCTGCTGTTGAGCTGCCAATTTGGCTTCTCTCATCTTTCTTCTTGTTGCTTTTCCCGACATTGACGCTTTTCAAATAGATCAATATCCTCGTTTCGACCATGTACCGACATAACTTACTGCAATCTGTACCACTTTCGACTCATTTGGTTCATGAAGTGAACTCACTTTTTCTTTTGCTTTTTCTAAATTTTCTGCTACAACCTTCTTATGTGTGGTTATTCCATGCACTGCGATTGCGCAGGGAAGCCATGTTCAAAATGTCATGCATCGCAGACATGCTTTCTCTGCTGACACCCATTTCTGATGCAGCATACACCATCCGTCTATTGATGTCCATAGCAGTTTGACCCACTGGTGTTCCCTGAAGTTGGTGGAGCTCTACTTTAATGTCACACTTGAATCATTCTATTTCAATAACCAAACTATTGCCATAAGTCCGAGCCACCTCATCTCTCAAGGTCAACTCTTTCCCCAGCCTGGCATAATTAGTGTAAGGGCTGGAATACACTCATCAAACTTGACAATTCTATCAGTCTATAGCTGAAAGAATTCTCCAAATCATCACTGTTACCAGCAGCTTGATTACAAAACTTTCGTATAGATGCAGTTTCTCTTGCAGGAGTAGTTTTCCCTGTACTTGAGGCTGTTGAGCATTGTTCAAAAATCAAAATATGTTCATCATCAAATGTTCACACGAACTTGTACCCTCGACATTCCAGCGATTTTTGCCTCGAAATCGCTTCTTTTTCGATACTTTCAGCATGAACAAATAAATAAAACCTCCAAAAACAATCTCGAGCAAAATATATATGTAATAAAGCAAAGTAAATAGTATTAAAATCAGATTTATTGTCGACAGCCCAGTATGGAATGTAACATTTCTGTGCACCGCACACTTTAAACGCAACTTTGGTTGTGCACCACATGTTGTGCACATAGCCAGCGGGCTCATGACCTGTGCACGTTCTAAATTAAGATTCTGGTGGGGGGGCAGGTTTTTTTTCAGGATTTTTTCCTGGGTCCGGCGTTTTTGCACAGAAGATTGTTAGTTTAGCTGAACAGCTGGGGGTCTGGGGCAGCTGCGGGCGGCTGACACCTTTACCGGATAAGTGTGGCATAGTACAAAACATGGACTGGACCCGAAATTGGACCCAAAATTGGACTCAAAATTGGACCCAAAATTGGATTCAAAATTTTAGCCAAAATTTTGCCCAAAAATCCATTATTTTATCAGAGAGAAACAACCCTCAGAATATCGTGCTATGATTTAATTTGTATAGGCAAAAAACTTCATGTTCCATCACTTTTCCTTGACCTATCTACTATCTAGCTATTTGTCTCCCAAAATTCTATATTCTATTTTCTAAACGTTATCTAGGGTATCTCGTAAATAACAAACCTTTCTGAAATATCGTTGCGCAATGGTCACAAATACATCACATCGATATAAATCATTCCATCAATATACACATCTAATTTTAATTATATACATTTTGTGTCTGTATAATACGCCCTCTATATATTCCGGCATATATATCCTCTAACGAGTAACGAGTTCGCAAAGTTTGTTTTGTCCATATGTTCTAATATTTATTGCAACTAGCTATATGTGGGCTTATCATTATGCACATATTGTATCCTATCTCTGATGATGGTTCTGAAATAGAATTGAAACACTGCGCGTCCTCTAAGACAAGCGTTAAGTCGTCACGAAAATATTTCGTGCACTTGGATAAGACTCGCTACCATTACCGATCCCTGTTGACTCGATAGCTCAATAGGTAGAGCGGCGGTCTAGCTACTCGAAGATGCAAGTTCAAATCCCGCTCGAGCCAACAAATTTTTCGTTGGTCGATTGCAGTGCCAGATTAAATATGAAACTAGTTTTTCGTATGTCTGAGGATGGTTCTGAAATACACTATGTGCATAATGATAAGCCCACATATAGCTAGTTGCGATAAATATTAGAATATATGGACAAAACAAACTTTGCGAACTTGTTACTTGTTAGGGACGGACCATTAGAAAAGTGATGCGGGGGTGGGGATTTTCTAAGAGGCAATATATATTTTTTTTGTACACCTATAGAAGAATTTTTTTTTTCTCACTTGATGGTTGGAAATATTTTTTTTTAAAGGGCCCTACAGTAATTTTTTAGTCAAGTAAGTATTTACATTTTTTGTTATTGTCACTACTTGACATGCGCACCACAGTATGCATGCGTTTTCCGTGTGCGAAAGTACTCATACTCATGGATACTGCATGTAAGATACAGCCAAACGAATCTCCGTGGAGTCCCCTACTTAAGGTGGCTTTCGACTAAAAAATGACTGTAGGGCCCTTTAAGTGAAATTTATAGGCCTATTAGTGGTGTAGTCCTGGAATGTTAACAAGGGGGGCTCTCCAAAGTGCCCTGAATTGGCGGGAGGGGAGGTACAATAAGATATTTTAGAAATTCTAAATTTTGTTGGGGTTTATTCTAGTAATTCTGGGACAAACACTTGACATTATTCTTATTAAAAACAAGCTGAAGCGAGGGCCGAAGGCCCGAGGAAATTTTTAAATTTAGAGTCTCTGAAATGCCATTTCCTGGACTTTGGGGAAGATTTGACAGAATTCTGATGGTCAGAAAACAGCGTTTTAGTATGTCGAAATTTACAATTTAGTGGTACTAAATGATATAAAGATTACAAAAATGGCGATATAAAGATTACAAAAATCATTGTGTTAAATGATGAGTGAAAATGAGATGCAATTCTAAAGAACATTCTTGTTTACTGGTATTTTTTTGTGTGTGTTTTCGCATGTTGTTAAGATTGTCAATTATGCAACGTGCCATAATATAAGGGGGCTCAGCATGCTGGACACATTCAGCAAATTTTCTCCCAGGATCGCAGGCTCATATTGTCAGTGGACTTGCGGTGTAAAATTGAAACTGTTGCATTTTTCAAAGAACTGGCCACTTTCTGTAAGATGTCCGCTGTCAATACGAACCCGCACGAGTGGGAGAAATTTTGCTAAATTTGACCAACGTGCAGCCCCCCAAGTCAACATGAAATTTCAACAAGGGGGCTCAGCTCCCCTGAGCCCTCCCTCCAGTACACCACTTGGCCTATCTTCTAAGCAAGGAATTTTTTTTTTTGCACTATGCCTTGAAAGATTTTTTTTTTTTCATTTTTTTCTGGGAATAATTTTTTTTTTGGTTTTGCCCCCCCCCCATCACTTTTCTAATGGTCCGTCCCTTAGCTAGGATATAGATGCCGGAATATATAGAGGGCGTATTATACAGACACAAAATGTATATAATTAAAATAACTATATATTGATATATTGATGGAATGATTTATAATTGATGTGATGTATTTGTGACCATTGCGCAAAGATATTTCACAAAGGTTTATTATTTACGTAACGAGATACCCTAGATAGCGTTTAGAAAATAGAATATAGAATTTTGGAAGACAAATAGCTAGATAGGTCAAGGAAAAGTGATGGAACGTGAAGTTTTTTGCCTATACAAATTAAATCAAAGCACGATATTCTGAGGGTTGTTTCTCTTCGAAAAAATATTGGATTTTGGGCCAAAATTTTGGCTAAATTTTTTGAGTTCAATTTTGAGTCCAATTTTGAGTCCAATTTTGAGTCCAATTTTGGGTCCAATTTTGGGTCCAGTCCATGTTTTGTACTATGCCCGATAAGTGTAGTTGAGACGCAATGTGTTAAAGCAGACACCATAAACTAATTAAATATGGCGAATGCGTTGTTTTTCTTGTGTTGTGAAATGAATTTCAGCCATTTTTCTGGATTGTGGGGTCAAAACTCAATTCAAGATCGAGTTTTTGGGGCCGTTTTATGGTCCTAAAAAATCCCTGAAAAAAACCCTGCGGGGGTAGCAAGTGTGTTGCAGGAAGGTCAGAAATTCTGAATTCACCAATTACTAATTATAGTTGTTACACACCATAGTTCTAGTAGATATTAAAAATATATATAGATAACGTACGTTGTGAAAATCCAAACGTTTTGTGCACCAATAACAGAAGGAAATTGTGTGCAACAATGTGCACCAAAGAGGGATTTTTGGGGAAGTTGTGCACCAATTTGTGGACCGATAGCAGCCTATGTGCACGGCACATGTGCCGTGCACATCGCCTTTATTCCATACTGGTCGACAGCAAGTTTGTATTTTGGAAGTGTGAGCTTCGCTGAACAAAATGTGCGTAAATTGCTGGGTAACCAGGCCTTAAACTCGTCACCAGTCTCTTGATTCACCAGACCGCAAAAATATTCAAATTTTCTTTCAAATCATCCAAAAGCAAGAGAGAAAGGACAACCGAAATGACGAAATATGATCTCGTTTCCATGGCAACGAGATTCAATATTTCAATGACCTTCAGAAAAAAGCTTATATTTTCAAAAAAGAAAGCTCAAACAGGCCCATTTTGATTCGTATATGTTTCTTTAGAACCTAAAGATGATTTTAGTAACAAAAATTTTTTTTCAATATTTTGAAGGTGTATAAGGTATACTCCCCCCTTAATAAAATCCATCGACATTTTCTCCAGATAAGACCTAGATGATGGAACAACATTTCCTGATGTGTTTACAATATGTTGTGGTGGTGACCAAGATATGAAATGTCTGACCTTCACAGGGAAATGCACTTTTGTGCCATGGCCATGTTTGTCAAGTAAATTGTCCGAGTTATTAGGAAAAAAAGTTCTGAAAAATCTTCTTTCTCCAGGAGGAACCAAAGACCATTTTTTCGCCCCCTCCCCGTAAACAAAGAAGCAAAGACATCCTGGCAGAACTCAACCGTGATTTTCTGCCTGGTTTGTGGGCTGTTCAACAATTGGTATATAGCCATTTGGAGTCTGTTATGAACAGAGTAATTATTAACATTTTAATATATCGTTTACATTAGCAGACAGGGACATTATGCTATAATTAGCTATAAATAGGTTGTATTAACTGTCAATCATGTACGTAATTGCTTTTGAAATTATGACCGAATCGAAAGAGAATTTAGACCGATTAAGAGCGAAGCGAGGCGGACATTGTGGTGTCTGTACTAAATTAGCAAAAGTAGCGGACAAACTGCTACATTTAACCGGCGATGTTGATGGCGATCGATGCAAAATTATCCGATCTTTACTCGAAGAGAAATTAAAAATTCTAAGTGAAATTGACGAAGAAATTTTAGGATTATGCGATGTAAAAGATATCGAACAAGAAATCGAAGAATCGGCGGAAGTTGTCTCTAGAATATTAACCGCTAAAAGGAAACTCAAAAACGCTTTAAGGCCTGGAATTTCAAAAGTGATCAACGAAAAGAATAACGTCCAACCGAGTAACTTATCACCGAATCAAGAAGTAGACTACGGGAATGATAATTCAACGAATAGTACGATTATTGACAGTGGCGAACAATCAAATAGTGCGAGTCAAAGCGAAGTAAACACGAACACGTCTCAACAGACAGCGACAACAAGTACAACAACAAATGTCAAACCGAAATTACCGAAGCTGACCTTGCCGAAATTTAAAGGTGACGTAACAAAATGGAATACGTTTTGGGACTCTTACGAATCTACGATACATAAAAACGATGCTATTACGAAGGTCGATAAGTTTAATTATTTGAGTTCTTTACTCGAGGGAACTGCACTATGTGCTATTCAAGGGCTTAATCTTACAAACGCGAATTATGACGCCGCTGTAGAAATTCTCCAGGACCATTTTGGAAGGCCACAACAAGTCATTGCGGCCCATATGGATGAAATACTTAAAGTACAAGCTTGCACAGGAGAGAAACTATCTTCCTTAAGATACGTCTATGACAAAATTAGCATGCATGTACATGGTCTAGCTTCATTGGGCGTTTCCTCGGAACAATATGGCAGCCTATTGATACCGATTATAATGTCAAAGTTGCCAAGCGATATTCGCCTGCAGGTCGCATGAAAGGCTACCAAAGAAGCTTGGAAGATCGATTAATTACTTACTACGATAAAACTTGAAATCGAAGCAAGAGAAATGAGCGAAAGCACGTCTAAGTCGAGTGGGAATAATCAACAAGGCTCTAAATATCAAGATTACAACTCTAAGAACAACGGGAACAAGCCTACTACTGCTGCTGCTATGTTTATGAACAATGGCCAGCTGCCCGACAATTCCAAAATCCAATGCGTTTACTGTAG